GCGCTCCCGCCGCGGGTTTGGATCCTATATAGGGATGACCAGTGCGCTCACAGCGCTCACTTGCTGAGCGTGGTGCGGCCGGTCTCAAAAAGGACAAAAAAAAAAAGATAAAAACACTTCTAAGTCATAGGCTTTTAAGCTTTAAATTGATAAAATATGAATGTCCAAAATTTTCATTAATAACTCCAGACCATTTATGAGAGAGGCATAGGGAAAAACAAACTTTATTCTTAAGTACTAAAGTAATAAACAGCCTTAAAATTTTAGGGCACAGATGATTATTTCCCGTTTTACATAAATAAAATCTGGATATAAAAAAAGCTTGTCAGTAAGGATCTGAGGGTTTACTTCCATGGAAAATCAAGAGGAATGGCCAAATAAAAATGACATAATAAAACATATGACTTAGATGATGATTATTTATGAGTGGGAAGACAGACATATTATGTAGCAAAAAAATTAAACAAATAAAGTAAATATATATATATATAGCATATATAAATTATATAAACGCCATTCTGTGGTAAGGCACACGTAGTTTGTAGCAACATAGCTTCTTTACTTTTAAGTGTTTCTTTACTCCAGTCTTATTCACATGTAAGGTAGACACTAGTATTTAACCATATACTTATAACCAGAATAGTTCTATAACCATTAATAAAAGTAGAATCAGTTATAAGTCTTCCCACAAAACAAATATAGGGTCCAGATGGTTTACCAGTGAATTCTACTGAAAATTCAGTTCAGATAATTCCTATCATACAGAAGTTCTTACAGAGAAGACAAAAAAGGGAACACAGCCCAATTCACTTTATAAGGCTAATATAACTTTGATACTAAAATCTTACAAGGCCATACATACTAAAAGGAAAACTAATCTCACTTATGATGTAAAAATCTTAAAAAATTAGCTAACTGAATCAAGCAAAGTATTTATTTTTAAACCAAACTGAGTTTATCCCAGAGATGTACTGTTGTCTTATTATCAGGATATCTACTTTATGTAATTTAACATATTAATAGGTTAAGTAATAAAAACTACATGGTTATCTCAGTAGATGCAGAGATAAGTACCTGATAAAATTCAATACCTGCACAAGATAAAACCAGTTAGCAAACTAGGAATAGAAAGTAACTTCTTTAATGCAATAAAGGCAATCTACCAAAACCCGAAAGGAAACCTCCAATTAATGGTGAAATGTTTAAAGCCTTATCTTTAAAAGTAGGAAAAAGATCAAGATGCCCTCTTTCAACATTCTATTCAGCCTAACACTGGAGAGCCCAGGCAGTAGAATAAGACAAGAAAAGTAACTAAAAGGTACAATAAAAATTAAAAATAAAGCAATAAAACCTTCATTCTTTGTGTTTAATATGATTATCTACCTAGAATACACAAAAATCTAGGGTGTAAAGATGGAAATACGACAGGGGTAAAATTGATCGAGGAAATACGTAGCACAGATCAAGGGAAGAGATGAATTTTCAATAAGTGATGTTTAGATAACATATTACACATGTGGGAGAGAATATTTTTGGAATCTTGCCTCACATCATATACATGATCAATTTCAGGTACATTAAAAACAACTATGAAAGGCAAAATTTTAAAACTTTCAAAAGAAAATATTAGATGGGCCGGCCCTGTGGCTCACTCGGGAGAGTGCGGTGCTGACAACACCAAGTCAAGGGTTAAGATCCCCTTACCGGTCATCTTTTAAAAAAAAAAAAAAAACAAAAAAAAATATTAGAGAATATATTCTTAAGGTAGGCAAAGTCTCTTAAACAAGGTATAATAAACACAAACCATAAAGGGAAAGATTGATAAATCTGCTATACTAAAATTAAAAGCTGTTAAGATTAAAATGGCCTAAAGAAAGTGAAACATATCACAGACAGTGAAAGATATCTGTAACACATGTGACAGAGAAAGGATTAGTATCAAGAATATGTAAAGAATGCCTACAAATTATTAGGACACTAAATGATCTATTAGAGAAACAAGCAAGAGGGCTGCCTAGTTAGCCTAATTGGTTAGAGCACAGCCTTATTATACCAAGGTCATGGGGTCAGATGCCCATACCAGCCAGCTGCAAAAAAAAAGAAAGAAAAAGAAAACAAGAATTGAACAAGCTCAAAGGGGTATGTATTTGAACATCCACATTGAAAAACAACTTGGTATTATCAAGCAAAGTTTAATAAGCACATATTCTATGACTTGATTTTTCCCAGGCCAACACCATTTTTCACCCATGCCTTGGTAAAATTAAGTGCCTCCTTTCACTCTTGAAGGAGTCTTGGTTGAGACAATAAATATGTGGTCACAGTACTTGTGACCTAGCAATTTCACTGCTGGATATATATCATGGAGAAACTCCTGCACTGAGCACCTTGAGTTATGATGGTGAATGTTGATAAACAACAAATAAAAACAAAATACCTTCCTTTCAAAACTCCAAAAAATAAAAAGTCTGGAAATAATCACTGCCCACAGACACAATAATAAATAAATAATAAATTGTGGTATATTAAAAAATGGAGTATTAAACAGTGGTGAAAATGAACCATTTCATATCTAACACATCAATATGTTTGAATCTCACAAATATTCTGCACAAAGAACGAGAAGAAAAAAAGCAGCATGACTTTATATAAAATTCAAAAACATGTGAATTATACCTTATATTGTTTTAGGAATACAAATGCATTTGGTAAAACTATGAAGTAAAGTAAGGATGTAATAATATTTAATTTAGCTGGGGAAGGAATTGGAGGTGATGGTAAGGGAGTTTGATTTGGGAGAGATACATGAAAGTTTCAAAGCAATCAGTAACTGTCCACATCTTATGCTGGTGGTGGAAGACTGAGTTGGTTTACACTTCATCTTTATATCTTACATATATATTACAGGTAGTCTTTATATGTCATAATTTAAAAATGGAAAAATAAATCTTTACTCTTTCCTATAATTGGCTCCATTTTCATTAAACCATCGATATGATTTTAAGCTTAGGAAGGCATCACATTCAATTAATCATATTAACTCAGAGGCCCAAGGTCACACAGTAAGTGCTGGAGGCAGGATTTAAACCTCACAGAAAGCCCTCAATGCAGGGTCTGAAAAAGTGTGTGGAGTCTTACCTTTACTACCAAGTAAAGAGACCTCTGAAAATCATTTAATCTTTTAGTCTTGGTTTCCTCTTTTGTACATTAGGATAGTGAGGATTAAATAGCACCAATGCACAGGCACCTTTTAAACGTTGAAGAGCTGCACAGATGCAGGCATAGTAATTACAAGTGTAATGATGAAGCAGGGTGGTAACACACTGTCCTGGAACTGGTAAGACCCTGTGAGAAATCACAGAATACAAGAAGGGAATAAACAGCGTTGGAACTATAGTATGCTATCTGAATCCCCCTGTCCCTCTCCCACTCTAATCACACACTAGGGCCTGGCTCACTGTCTGCCACTCAACACTGTCTTCTGAATTTATGAAGAGAAGCAGGGAGTGAAGTATTTGAATTCAAAGATACCATATCTTCGAACAGGCATAAAAATGTAGAAACTGTAGGTCCAAGGAAACTTCTTCCTCGGGGTTAAACTCTGCTATGCTGAAGAGTGAAAAAAAGAGATGTGTTTTAGAACACATCTTTGATCCTATGCTTCTCTTTAAAAAAATGATTTTTCGGTCTTCAGAGTACGTACACTCTACGGTCAGTTCTGTCCCACAGGCTGCTTTGGAAGGGATCAGAATGTGTACTAATAACAGCCAACACTTACTCAGTGACTTAAATTCTTTTACATTAATTACCGCATTTTAACTCACAGTACAGAGTTGAGTAGGGCAGGCTATCGTTAACTTCGTTCCACGAAGAGTCAACCAAGTTTACGAGAAGTGGGGGCATGCTGGGGCCAGGAGGCCCACGAAGCACGAGCGCTCGGGCCTCGGCTGCAGAGCCGTCCTCCCCTGCGTCTCGTGGGGGGTCTGGGGACAGCTCCGCGCGTGCCAGCCCTCAGCGCACGACCGCCCCCTCCTCATCCAGGAGCCGCGGCTGGGCGGAGCTGCAGCCCCTGCAGACCTGCAGAGCGAGGGCAGGAGCGTGGCGGCGCCACGGAGGCCTGGCCCGGGCCTGCCAGCGGAGGACCCCCTCTAGGACGCGTGCCCCCGCCTGGACCTCCGCCCCTCGCTAGGAAGGCCCCGAGGAGGCGGCCGGGGGCTGGGCCGAGGCCGGCAGGCTCGAGCACCGAGGTGATTCGGCACGGCCCGATCCCCTCCCGACTGCCGGGGCCCTCCCTGCTCCTCACCTGCCACCCGCGCACTGGGGCTGGGGGAAGGGGCCACCAGCGGCAGCGGTCAGGGTCGGAGAGAAAGTGGTGGAAGCCCGGAATACGGAAGATGACACAGGGTTCTGCGGCTTGTGCGCTTGCGCGAGCCGTCCCGCGGCCCGCCTACTTCCGCGCATGCCCGGTGCAGGAGTCGGTGGCCTTCACCCTGAGGCCGGAAGGGCGGCGCGTTTCCGGTTCGCCTGCAGTGGGCGGGGCCTGAAGCCCTGGTGTGGAGTGGGAGGTGGGGGAGAGGGTTCTGGGCATCAGGGAGGAGTTTGCTTTCCGTCTAGCCTGATTTTGACACTCAGAGGCTACAGGCACACTGTACCAGAAGGGGCAGGTGGAAAGGATACACTTAGGCTATTTTTATTGTCCAACGCACTCTAGAAATACTGATTTCTAGGGACTTGTCTTCGTGCTCATTATCTGTGTTTTCTGTTTGTAGGGCCCCATAAAACCCCAAAGGAGACATTCCCTAAAACATGGCGCCTTTCTGGCTTCTCTTCCGGGTCCTAACATTCCCGCCGGTGCCAAAGTATGGCCTATCAAAATCATCACCCGCCCTTCCAACCAATCAGCCACCGCCCCGCGTACTAACCACCCTCTCCCGGAACTCAGCTCTCTATAAATGTATGCTTCACCCTCAAATAAAGCAGAACTTCTCTGGTGAACTGTCAGCTCCGGTCCTGTCGTTCTTTCAATATCTATTATGCTATTTCATCTCCTCTATGACAACCTTAGGAAATTTGTATCAAAAATATTTTACAGTTTTAAAAAATTCTAAA